AATAACGTATAAAAATATAATATTTTTAAAAAATATATAATTAATTATATAAATGCTTTTTAAAAGTATGATTTATATTTAATTTTACATTATACGTTGTGATATATTTATAATGAGTCATAAATATCATTTTTGATAAATAGCCGCATGTAAAAGTTTCATTTTGCGCCGCGGTTTAATTTTCCAGAACGTTGAACCCGCAGGATGTTGCCCTCGCGTAACCAAAATCCTCATTTCGCCCAGAGGCGATCCTTTTCACCTCCTGTAATAACGCAGGAATCTGCGTATTACGTCGTTTGATTAATTAATTTACGCCGATGAAGCGCCGGATTACTAACCCTCAGGGCTGCAAGCTTTTCCTTGCCTTGTCTTCTTCGCGAAGAAACGAAGTAAATAAACAATTCCATCCGCTTTTTCAGTTGCCATTATACATCTAATGGTGTTAACATTAACCGTGACAACAGTTGCGCAGCAAGCAAATAATTGCATCGTGTAAATTTGCTAAACGGCGTGACTGCCGGTTCACACAAAGGTATATCTTAATTCTCTCGAAATGGGCTTTTCATTGTTTGAAAATTGTTCATATAACATGTTATTTTCTAAATGATTTCATTTACTCTATTATCATTCTTGAAATTTTGTAGCAGTTTAAGTTATGTAGCAAAGAATCTGAATTCCATTTATTTTCATAAAATGTTAGCATAAACCAAGATTTATTAGATATTGATTTTATAAAAACTGGATGTATGATGATGACAATTTTAATTTCACATAAAAAATAAAAGCAATATATTTATATATTAGGTGTAGTAAAAAGAAATCCATTATTTTTGCATGAAAGTGAATGGAAAAATAATGGATTTCTTTTTACTACACCTAATATAAAAATTTTTTTTTCCACATATAAAGCTTAATATATAGATTTTTATCGTCGTATAAACAACTTTATAAACTATTATACGCTAATCTTTTATTGATAATAATAAAAAATGGCTTTACAAAATGAAGAAAAGTTTGCGATAAGAAAGACAAAGGAATAGTCTCTACTGTTGAACACTATTCTTGAGATAACAATGAATAATTGAAGAAGAGGCTCCGAAGGGGAGGAACACGCGAGGAGAGTCTAGTATGGGAAACTACTTTCTGTGTTAGAAGGGTAAGAGAAAGCATCGTATTCATGAGAGGCACGAAGATACAAGCATTAATTTTTGCGAGTGTGAGACTCGAGGGACGAGTTGCATCCACGATGCATCCCGGAGGCTGCGCCGTATTTTATTGCGTGAGGTTTGCAAGTTTACATTACCAAGAGAGGATCTGTTAGTTTCGGTAAGGTAAAGGTTTATAGGGTGGCGAGAAATGTAGAAGTATTCGCGCTACACCGTTATAAATGGCCGCAACAACTGCAGTTGGTCTTAATAAGTAGAATTACTACAGAGATCTTCAGTATAGAGCGGCGTATTAAACAGAATAATCATGTATAAGTGTCATGGAACAAAAAGGAAAGAGCAAAATCAGCACAAATTCTGGGATTTTTTTCAGTATTAAGTATTTATTACATACAAGCATTTTTTACAATATGAAGTAAGTTTGTTTCTTTAGACATGACTGGTGATATTTAGCATTTTTTTTTTCGTTATTGTATATTTAGAAACATTCTCTCATATTCTATTTAATTACCATTATTATTAGGTATTCTTATAGAATAGTTTTAATAGAATCTCAACCAAATCTAATAAAAATAGTATAAGTGTACACATGACGCAGGGATAATATACGGTGTCCAAACGATTAATAAATATTTAAAAGAAGAACTAATATAAATAAGTTTCATACAATAAGTCGTACGAATCGGGCGTTTCCAAGTTCGTTATAGTTGAAATTTTTACAAGACAAACGCAGAAACAATTTCTCATATGAGAACGGGCGATAAAATATATCAATAAATCTGTCACTTTGCATGGTTTCAGGCTGTGTATACGCCTTTTTTGCTCGATTTTCTTTTTAATGATCGAGACATTTTCGGCGTATGAACAAGTGACTCGCGATGTAACTCTGTACAAATACGTTCACTCTAACAACTCTCAATAAAAATATATATTAATCGTTCATAAGAAAATATATTGATTATTCACGAATGATAGAATTTTTCCCGGCGCCCGAAAAATAAGTCGCACATGCGAACGAAGAAAAATCTCGAATTAAAAAAATTATTAACGAGAAAATTTGAATTTTATAATACATATCAGTTTGATAAATCCTCTACGCCGATTATGATAAAATGCGAATAAAGTAAAGAGCGAGGGGAAAAGGGAGATAAATCTCGCGCGTAAATGTACGAAAAATTGAATAACAAACAATTTGTACACTAATCCTATCATTTTTCTAATGTTGACATTTCTCTCGATTATATTTTTTCGAAAATCAGAATAACAGAAATGTTCGTTTCTCTATTCTTGTTATAAATAATTTGTCAAACTCTATCGTGAAATAGGGCGAGCGCAAAATATAAAGCATGCTACCGATATATTCCACGTCTCAGAATTTTTATGTTGTAAATAATGACAAGTAAAACTCACTTTTTGGATGCTGCAGCGATATTCGCTTTTACGTTATGCATTAACGTTGCAATATCGATCGTGTTTATCTTCATCGAATAAAGTGCAATTAAATTCCATCCATAGTATCTCTCGCATAAATTCTTACAATTAACGTTACTAGATCACTCACCGTTAACTTATGCAGCGGCTATCTCACAAAGCAATCAGCATTATCGTCTTCGTCATCACAGCTAGAAAATTTATGCACGATCCGCGAAAAAACGTAACGATAGTGAAATCTAGCAAATATCTAGAATATATACCAATGTTAAGTAGGCCCTCTAAATGAAATACGATAAAAAAAAGAAAAAAACAGTAAGATTGCTTGACTAGTGAGCGCACGCCCCAAAATCTGGTATGGAAGAAAAGTTTTCTCTTTTTCTATCTACTTTTCCCCATCTCGTATCTGTAGAATGTCTCTTATGAATCCCCTATTTCAATAACGCGCTTAGATCTACTCATGAAATTGTTATAAGATAGTACCACGCTACGTTATCTTATATGTTAGGGACATTCTCTAATCCATTGTTTTGGCAGATACGTTCTCAGCATTTGATCCGACTTCTATTTTACCTCTCTTTTTCTTTTGCGTCTTGTATGTTTATTCGTCATTTACTCTCTGTGCAATTTCCAATTTTGTCATCTCTATTGATTAACGCCTCAAACATCTTAATCTACACACGCATGTATGTGTGATAAGGGCGAAGTCGTGTGTGTATATGTGTGTTTGCGTGTGTATGTGAGAGAAAAAAAAATAATTTTGTCGATTCGTTATCATAAAATATGTCCGTAATGAACATCTGAAAATGATGTGTTACAAATAGGCCTCAATTCCCTTCCTTTAGAAAGTTACATTTGTCTAATAGCGTACTACGACACACAGATTGAGTGTCCATACCTGCTGTTGCGTAATAATAATCAATTAACATTATATATTATTTTACACTTCTTTCTTCCCGGTGACGACGCTTAGAGCTCGGCATGATTGTGAGGTACGGGGATAGTCTTTACGCCCTCATTCTCGCTTCACCGAGATATCCCCTTTACACATGATACGTCGCGCGACGGCGGTTATTTACATTATCATAAACAACAACGTCTCGTTTCGAATGTTACCGCTCGTTATGAGCAATTCGGTTGCCCAACTGCTCGTTTTCTGTTCGTCCGGGAACGTTTAAGAGACACCTTATGATAGTAGATCTGCAAAGAAAAACAGAGACAGCATTTATATAAGAGTATGTATCTAGGTATTTTCGGTTAAAATGATGTATTATCCATTTATAGTTGTAATATGTAGATTCTATAAAATCGCGATTCCAGTTTTCTTTATTAAATCCAATGATTAAAAATGTAAAGACCTTGATTTATATACCTGGTACTTGATTGTTATCCTGTGGCTTGTTGATGAAATTGTCCTGGAACGGATTAACATTGGCATTAGTAGCAGCGGGCACGAACCCCATCGGAGTAAACGGCATCGCTGCCGGATTCAGATTGGAGTTGAGAGTATCCTCATTCGCCAGATTGGGTGTCAGTTCGAGTATTGGCCCAGTATCGTAGCCGGTACTGTTATTACTCAGAGTATCGAAGTCCGACAGGTCTAACAGGTTGGTCACGTTGTTTTGCTTGCTATAAAATGAATCAAATGAAAAACATACAAAAACTAAGTTGGTAGCCAGACATACGGATTAGGGACTACGACTTAAGCGACTATTTACGATCACTAACACGGAATCGCCGCCGCTAAATTAGCTAAGCCGATTGCGAACGATTCATTAACACCTTCAGTTGAATCACTAAAACGAAATGAAACGGATTTTGTCGGATAGGAACATAGTTCGCGATTCTATATACATCTAAAAAACGTCACCAACTGAATGATATAAAGCTAGATAAAAATAACTAAATAACGCATCGGATAAATATAAAGCGCTTATGCGTCAATTGTTCTGCGTTATTGATCATATAATTGCTTCTCAAATTACAGACTTTAAATATCTTGAGGGGGCAACTATTTTGATGTAACTATATAAATAACTATTATAAGCGATGAAGTCTGATAGAAATTGCTTTTATGCGTAGCAGTACTAACCAAGAAGGTCGACAACCTTTTGCGGTCCTTTGTAATATCCAATATATATCTTTCGTCTGTTTTTGGTCGAATAAAAAAATTTATTAAATATAACTAATATAATTTACGTATATTATTCTTGTTGGATCGCAACAGGTTTCTGTTTAAATAACTACGGGAACCAATTAGTTAAATTGATATACACGTGTCAACTGTGTAACTATAATAATCATAGCTTGCTAGAACATATTACAGCAAAACAGCAAATATAGATCTAATTTACATAAAAAATTGAATTACATTCGATCGAATCACACTCGTCGGATTAAGATATTAGAGAAGAAAATTCATGCCACATTTGATTTTTTCTTCTTTCGTTTATTTTCCTATACGGGTACCTTTGTGTAGGATTTGTGGATGTGGTGTGCGTGAAGAGACGTTTTCTCACGAAAAAGTACTATATCGGAAAATGTGGAAGTAAATAGTACATAGCAAAAGTAGGCAGTAAGTTGACATATATCGCGCTTGGTATACAATACACACAAGCATGAGGAACTCAGACAATCATTGTGCAAGGAAAAGAACAAGCCACACCATATCAACATTAGTTAACATGCATTGGTGATTTGTTACGAAAATCAGTCGCACTTACGGTACACTGGTCAATAAATGGAAGAACACTTTTTATTAGTACCTAATTGAGGAGGAAAGATCAAAGAGAGATACTCAGCAAAGATGATATTTATAAATTATTATACTATATATTTATTATATGAAATGTTGCATTTAATGTAACTGCGATACGTCATTATTTTGCTACTTTGCAAAAGTCATGTTAGCATTATTCATCCTTACTGAGTTGGTATATTGTGAAATCACAAAACGAAACTTTTCGATGACTCATTAGATTTATGCCGTTTGTTTCTCTTTACATTATATATATATACTCAGATTTATTTGTCCTATGTGATTTAACACTAAATATATTCTGCAGTTTTGTTAATATTTTTTTTAATTTCATATTTTGTGTACGATATTACATAACGTTCTTCCACTCGTTTACATAATACCTAATGACGATCGAAGTACGCGATTCTCGTTATCTTAGACAATCTAGCTAAAAATAGTATGTAAATTTGCCGTAATACATAGCTGAATATCAATTATAAAATATATGTAACTATTACAATAGGTGATATACAATATACATTCTCATATTTGCAATCTCATTATCACCGCGATAGTAATGTTAGTCTCATAATTTATTATTGATTAATATGTTGCTAATCGTGCAACTAATCATATCATAAACGGCGAGTCGCAATGGCGTGCTTATTATGCTCGTCAACCGTTATTCTGACTACTTTTGCAATGTACAATACGCATGGGTTACTCAGAATATTTGCATGAAGCGATAAATGTTCGGTGAAATTAATTTCGATAGGCAGTTCCTTCCTGTAGATGTCTTAGGAAAGCGCAGTATATATAAACTTTTTTACTAAATAACCGTTTATTATAATAATGTATATAATAATATATTGTTCATTTGCTATAACAATATAACAAAAAATTGTCATTCTTTAATTAATTGTAAAAAAACAGAAAAAAATAAAGAAAAAAAAAGAAAAAATATATACTTTAAAAGTATATACATACTTTTATTCCTTTACGAGTTCTTACATAAAAATTTCATTTCAAAATTAATATTACCTACAAAATTTTATTGATTCAAAACATTCACTTATTTACTAGAAAATTTAGTATTTTGAGTTGTATCTTTGCTGCAGCAAATGAACGATATATACATATACACACACACACATATATATATATATA